TATTGATTATTCTAACTGTAGATAAGAGGGGGAAAAGCCTATCAGGACCAGTGCAAGTAACATGAATGCATCTCATTACATCTCATTATTAAGAAACAGATGTGCAGCAATAATGGTGAATTTAATGGGTGGGGGTGAAATGAGGGAAGCATAAATAGAAAAACAATTGCTTTTACATTTCCTCAAACTGAGAATGGTGCACACCTACCAAAATGGGCAGCAAGTGTAACACTTTTGACAATAATCATAATATGTGATCTTTCATGTTTTATATTAAATCCTCCTTTCATACCAACTACATGTATATACATCTGTCTGTATATGTCAGACATATTGAACTGCACAACAATATCAACATTCAACCAATGCATATGAATTTCCAATGCATATCAAAATGGATTTTCAGCAAACTTCAGATTAGTCTGTTTTATTCTATCCACATGGAACATTGCTCCAAAGATGGCATTGTAAAAAGCACCAAAGATTGAATCCGATTTACGAGACAGCACTTTACTTCAGAACCAAAAGATTTTCAATAATGCCAATTACAGAACAGTAGGTGGTCCTTTTTTAGTGTTTCTAATTTGTGTTTATAATAATCCTTGCATTTCATACAGTGCCTTATCAAACTTTGAGACGTCTCAAAGTGCTTCACAGAATATACTATAAAGTGAATTGACTGTATATTTTTGTGGGTGAAACATTTTATAATGTCTGTGTTGTTTCAGAGACATATTCTCATTGTTAATTATTATTATTAATATAACTGACATCTTAACTCCAACTCCAAGATCACAATCCACTTGCAGCCTGCTTAATGAGACCTTTTCAGCACATTGGGATGTCCTCCTGACGTGAAAGGAGCTATATAAATGCAATTTGCTGTTGTTGTTGAGACAAGCTAAAATGATCACATATAAATTCCTTAGTAACTCAGTCCAAAAATAATTGGTACCAATTGCCCGACACAAACTTTCCAGAAAAAAACACCAGGTAAAAACTTTCATCTCCTTTACCTTGAACAACTATTATTTTGCATTCTGACTTGTTCAATTTGTTTACTGATAGGTTAAAAATAACCAGACAGATGGCACAGCATACTTAACACATAACACCACTACCCAATGGAGTGATAAGACATGGATGTGAAACCATTAGCCACAGAAGCTGAATTCCTGACCTTTGCAAATGGAAGCCAAACACTTTTCTATTTTGAACAAAGAAAAGTTAAAATTTTTAAAAATGGAGAGCAAATCTTGCATGGCCTTTCTTAGTTCTTCCCCCAAAAAGCAATTCTTACTCAAATTTGCTCCTGCTCTCGTTTTTCCTTCTAGTGGGGGATAATAACAAATGTGCTGGTCTCTCTCAGTTATCAGGCCCAAGCATCTATTATTTATATGTGAGTTGTGACCATGAGTGTTGACAGGCTATTCAATCGTAGCTAAGACTGATCCTGTCATAAACCCCCTCCACAAACATACACCTTCCAGCAATATAGAACTGAAACCCTGGTTGATTTTTCCCTCCCTAAACCAGGGGAGAATAGATCAATTAAAGTGTCCCTGGCTAAGATGAGTTAGCAGCACAAACTGGAATTCAAACTTATGTACCTCTGGGTTGTGTAACTTTATACTGTACTGAATGGTGCCTTTGCTTGTGAGGTCATCAAGGAAGTTTATATTTTAATTGTCAGATCAGGAATGGCATTAATAAAGAGTAATATCAGGTCTACAATCCATCTAATCTACCGAGGAATATGGGACAGCAAGGACGATATTAAAGAATAAAGGATTTTTTAAAAATGGGTCAATTTGTTTAAAAGTAGATAATGGGTAGGCAGACAATAGAAGGCTGAGCATAAGACTTTGATTCACAGATCGCAAATTGAAATACCAGTATCAAATGATAATCAAATATAGCTAGGCTATGCTCCTAGATGACTGGAAAATCCCACCTCTGGGGTAGGGGGAAAAAATGTCAACAAGACAGATCACATTCTTCAAATGCTCGTTGATACGAAGTTGCACAGGGTTGAGGGCATGCAGCTGAATGTTCAGAGACTTGAAATGGATATGTACAGTGGGAAACATCGGGAAGAAGTGCAAACAGAAATCTGGTTTAGGCTATGAATAGTAACACATATTAAAAATACATTTAATGTTAATGATCCTCTGCACCCTAATATTTGAGTAGATAATGGTGATGTTGGCATTGAACCACACAAAGCAGGGAGTCCTCAATTTTATCCATTTTTCATGCTGCATTAGCTGAACTTCCTAATCTCAATCAGAGCAATATTGGGGCAAGTAAAATTGCTGTTATCATTGAGTTTGTGAGGCTAAATTTCACCAGTGTTTCCATTCCTGGTCACAATTCAATAATCTCAGATGAAAGTGTCCTGAGTATGGCCATGTATTGATGACAGTATTAGGTATAGCTGTGATGGAACCTATTTTATTAGCCCGTTAGCACTCGCTCCCCAAGATCACATATAAAGAATTTAGGTGAGATTTTAGTGGACCTCCAATCTCTAAAGCACTATGTGACAAATTTGAGTCACTGGCTGAAGAAGACTTCTAAAATACCAATGGGCATCATGAATATTGTTCCAGAATTAATTTAAAAAGATACTTTTCTTCATGGAAGCTTTTTTGTTGTTGTTATTTCTGAAAATTAGAAGAACCACAAGAACCTGCTCATCATATGCAACTTCACAATTCAAATTATCACACCATGTCTCTGAGACCACAGTGAGACAGATTTGCCAACTCCTTCATTCATATGTAGGGTGCCACTCTTTACATGCCTGCCAGGAATATTTACCATAAAAAATACATTATGCGTTAATTTCTTATTTTGTTAAATTGAGAAAGATCATTATCTTACAAAGATACACTGAGAATGTAACATGGTGGTCTTCCAAGACTGAGCTGAGGCTTATTCGTGGGGTATGGTGGGAAGTTTTGGATATGTTTCATGTGGATCTTAGGTGCCTACATTGAGAAAATGTTCCATGTCCCAGCACCAACATCCCTCATCTTTAAGACCATAAAGCTCATCTCCCCTCCCACCAAAAAAGGTCAAGGTAAGGATAGCTGTTTTTGTTTAAGCCACTGAATAACAAAAGCAAGCTGCACTTCACCGAGCGCTCTGGGACGCTACCCTGCGTGAGGGGCGCTATATAAATGCAAGTTGTTGTTGTTGTTGTTGTAAATGATCCTGCTTTCGTATAATGAATGTACCTTATTCTGTACTAACCTAATGCCAATCCGAAGGGCCAATATTACTCAGTGTGTTGACTTTAAGTGACCACATGCATTGAAAATAAAGGCTGAGTTTTGAATTTGGTCATTTTCACGGGATTTGATTCACACGCCCCGGATCGGGGGGGGGGAGGGGGTGTTTGAGTTGCAGACGCCTAATTCGGGTTTAAAAAGTGCGTGGCTGCAGTGCAAAAAAAAAAATCTATGTTTTGCTCTCCAGCAGATTTCCGAAACCGATTGCACGAAACCCGGTAACAGATTTTATGTAAGTTGTGGTCAAGTCGCCCAATCAACAACAGAAACTTTGGAAGTGAGGCCCACAAAAGGTGGCAGTGTACGGTTATTCCGGAACTAAGTGGGGGTTCCGACCCGTCGCTCACGTCGCCCCAAATACATCTTCAATCTCCGGCTTTCAGGCCGCTAATGAATGAAGGAATTTGCAGGAGGAGCCCGGGCTACGCTCCACTGGCTTCCTGATCCACGTATTATGCGTATCGAAAAAGCAATCGCAGCACTCTACACCCAGAGCCTGCAGATCCCGGCTTTTGGTTAATTATACCGATCAAGTCCTGTGTTATGCCAAAAAAAAATAACAAAAGACGCCCGATGTGGCAGACATTCTGGTGCTCGCTGTGTAAAAAAAAAGTATTGAAAAGCCTCTGATGGTGCCGGAGTCGTCTTGTGTCAGCCGCCAGCAGCTCTGATGCAGATTAATTATCCGTTTCGGCTTAGTTTACCACTCCCCTGCCCCGGGTGACCCCAGAGGCCGAGCAACGTCTCAGACGGAAACTGATGAATAGAGATCAGTTACAGCGCTCTGCATCTCACCTCCTTCTCACACGGATCCACCAAGGGCAGTGGCGCAATACTTTCTGTTACAGCGAATGCAGCAGCTATGCCAGACCAGCACGGGATTGCACAGGGAAGTGGCTCCAAAGCTGCTTAATGTGGGGAGACGCCCAATTCACCACCAGCAGCAGCAGCAGCCGCCAGTCTGCTGCATATTAAGTCCTTTCCTGAGCGCACAGCGAATCAAGCACAAGCTGGAGCGTGCACCACATCTGCGCTGTTAGCGAGCGAGCGAGGAGAGAGAGGGGGGGGGGGGGCGGGAGAGAGAGGGGGGAGAGAGAGAGAGACGCCAACTGCCTGTGTGAAAATAAACGCGTTACTACACAGACGCGAACCCGCATTGCAAACACTGAGCCGGAACATGCCATGGTTTGGCTGAACAATAGCCGCGCACTTACCAGCAATACATGGACATGGGACTGCACCCAGCACTCACACGGCCTGCCCACATCCACTAAAACACTGTGTACCCGACACTTGTGTAAAACATTAATTGTGTCTGGCAACACCTTTCAATTTCATAAATTGTTAATGAAATGATCTGTGCCCTTTTATTGCGCCAATTTGTCGTAATTTTGTTCCTTGTTTTATTAGGCAATGGGGCATTCGAGGGTCCTTGCAGACTGATTAAATGCCAGCACTCCGAGAGCATGGCCAGGGTAGAGCATGACCCCCTCCCCTCCACCACCACCTTTCGGAAAACATTTCAACGCTTAACACGAGTGATAAAACGACTTTTACTTCAGTATCGGTTTACCCAGGTCCTCGGTCGGGGAACTTTGTTGGGCTTTTTTTTTAAAAAACGCGAACCTTTTGAAGGTATCGGAGGAAGAGAGTAACTGAAACAGATCGGAGAGGAATAAAGAGCACCGATGCATATCGTCTTACCTTATCCTTCCTGCGAAGCTTGGCGACGGGACCTATCCAGGCTGGATGGAGTGGTTGCGATTCCTCCATCTCCAGCATCACCTGACTGGGGTAAGCACCTCGCTCAGAAAAGTCCAGCTCTTTAAGTTCCACCAGAGAATAGTTAAACCTGCGACTCTAACTCCCGTTTGTTTGAAATCTTTGCCAGATAAGCAACTAATGATGTATGGCCCCTGTGCACAGTTAGCGTCGGAGCGGCTGCCAACACCATTCTCCAGTCACAACCGTGAAATCCCCTCCTCTCTCGACACAGTGCAACTCAACTGTAAACTGTATTGCTTTCGAGTCGAATCACACGTACATACATAGAGGCTTTTATCCAACTCGACTGAGAATCTTGGATTTCACAGCACCCTATGCAAACTTGATAACGTAGTTTACACACGAGGACAAAGGAAACACTATCCAAAAAACAGAGTGACTCCTAATGAAGGAAGGCTGAACGAACACGACTGCGGCTTCTCCCTCCAGAGCGCCAGAAGGAAGCACTGCACGCAATGCTGCCCACCTCCCTCCCACCCCAGTGAAGGAACAGCAGCAACCGTCAGCCCTTCGCCTCCAAAGTTGTCGCACCGCTTGTCTTGTGTAACATTTGTCTCTGCCAGGATTATCCGAGGAGAACAGTCTGGGAGCTGCTGTTTCCTGTGATGCAGACTGCGACCTCGGGAAATGAATTAGCTTCAATAAAACCAAACAAAATGGGCTCATGTGACCACAGCTGCCCATTCACAGCCCGCTTCACTCATAACTCCAGCTAAACTTTCTGAGCCGGCTCCCCCGATCTTTTGGAAGTCATTTTTTTTATATTTAAAAAAAAACAAAAACGGAAGGAAGCTTTCACTGCGATCACTGTTGTAAACGTTACACTTCCCTGCACGCCGAGTTAGTCAGTGGCTCGTATAAACATGCATTGCACAAACATCTTAAAGGTGTGCCGAGAATTTCCATCCTATGCCAACAGTCTACTCTTTTGATTTTTTTGAAAAGAAGTGTATTTTTTTTTCCTTTTTGACTTCGGATCAATGCAGTGCCACAAAGAGGTTGTGTCTGTATGCGTGTGTGTGTGTTGGGTGGGGGGGGGAGGGGGAGTATTCATAAACCCAGCTTGGCTGATCTTTGCAAATGAAGTGATAATGTTCTGTGTGTTTTGTTGACAATCGCATTGCGGAGCAAACAACAGTCACATTATTTAAGATAAGGTTCGGTAAACAGCGTTGGATGAAAAATCCACGAATTAAAGTCTTGTGGATGATTATCCATCCGGTCATCAATGGATTTCTTTTGCGGAACAAAACTCACTTCACGTCAGGAAAATAACCAGGACTCATCTCGCTTTTAAAATAAGCAACTCTGGTTTATTCGGGTAAACGACGGTGGTGCAATAGGGTGTCATTTCACAACGTTCTTGTGACTGGACATATTATCATAGTGAATGACACTAGAACATGGAAATACAGTTACACTAAAATGTCAGCTGTACAGAGTTTAACCAGCCTTAGGAATAACGTGACCTCGCCCCCTCCCCCCCAACCTGCAACTGTTGCACACGTATTAAATGCACGCTGTGTGCCAATTGAGGCACTTTCAGCTGTTATTGTTCAGTCGACTGAGTAAAAAGATATTTTAAATGATCTCTTTCTGTAGTCTAAGCTTCCCCGCCTACACCCGCCCAGCCCTTAAAGTCTGGATAGGGTTCTTTCATTTGGTTTCATCTTGATGTTTTTTTTAAAAAAAATCTGCCCAACTTCTTTTCTCTATGCGAGCAGTGAGGGATTGCATTATCACATGTGAAGGGATACACACATGGATGGACCACATCGATTACACAGTGCAACTTTTAATTTTTGAACTCTGCAAATGACACTTCACAGCGAGCCGCCCCTGAAACACAGTGACTCATTTCTCAAAACCCTACACGAAATAGCGCTTTGCTGGCGTTGGGTGAATAATTACGAAAATATCGGTAGGTGCAATAAATCTGGAGGGAAATCCAGAATCCTGCATCTCAGCACCAAGGAGGTTCAAACACGGTTCTATTATTCATATCAAGCCGGCAGTAACCACGCTTGCAGTCCAATGAGCCGCGGGCTGCACTCAGCTCGGCTGCCACTTCCATCTACTTGTCTGACCGCCCCCGCTCCTAAACATACTTTATGACTCATCCACGGGACCAGAGTTTGCGACACAGATGCGTTGACTGCACAACTGAAGGTGGCGGTTCAAGCACTACAATCTGTGTCAGAGCCACGCAGTGATACAGCGACCAGCTGACACCGAACAGTAATACGTGCAAACGCAACCCTACTTCTTTAGAGCGAAATTCTTCCCGATATTTGCATGGATAAACCGCTCTTTAAACTTCGTAGTTTGTTATATGCACAATATAATGCTATTTATACACACCCTGCTACACTTATATACCCGGTGAAGAAGAGCGCGACTAAACATTTCAATAATTGGACTGTTGTACTCATCTGGTGAATGTAAAAGGCTTGTTCTCGACTCCTAAACATTGTAACTGCGTTCGGTAATAGTATTTTTTAATACAATGAAGCCCGTCTAAGATAATCTGTGCCAAGATAACATCATGGTTACAATCAATAGCAAAATGCATCCATCTTTTGCTTTGTGCCTGGCGACATTACAAATCAGTTTAAGATTGACTTTATGCTTGACAGAACTGAATTTAGTGTATTGATGATGCATTTTGAGCCGATTTAAGTCTAGGACCTATGGAATGCAAACTGCACCTTCAATTTCAGAGCGTGAACAAGCTTGTGCTTATCGACACTGCCTGGAGACCGCAGAGTTGCGTGTTCTAATACCCATCTGTACTGACTTAACAGGTCTCACTCAACCTGATGACAGTAGGGGCGTTAAAATTGGCCTCAGTGTTCCTCCCTGGGCTCAGGAAGGGAAATTCTGCCAGGATGTGATGCTGGATGTTGTGTGTAGCGCAGGTGAGGACAGTTGTCTCTGCGGTGATGCCCCCCCCCCCCATGATAGCCTGCCAATCACTCACTGTCAAGGTTCATACATACATAATGGTCACCTGAGCAAAGTAGGGGTGCGTTCTAGCAGAGTAACCCCCAGTAAGGAGGTGAGAAAAAAAAATGGAAGAATAACTTCAGAATAAGATGCATAAGAAAGCATCAATGTTAGGGCAACGCCACACATTGAAAGCTTTCCTCATGTTGACGATAATGGTTCCCGGGAAAGGGAGATTAGCGAGAGAGGGTCCGGCATTGTTTCTTTGCGTGACAGAGCTGGAAGAGTACACACCATGTGGGCTTGTAGGTTAAAAAAAAGGAATCAGCGCCTCCCGGCGAAAGGAGAGGAAAGGTATCAATCGGGATGTGAGAAAGAGCAATTTCATAAGCGAAATCCCAGCCTTTTGTGCGCTCGTCTGCAGAAATCGTCTGCCCCTCTGAAATCGGATTGAGTTCAGTGCTTGTGAGCTGCCGTGAAACGTCAATCAGCCACCGCCAACCTATCGGTGATAATAGGCAATCAACACGAAATCACCGCTGCGGGGCATTCTCACGCTTAGGAGAGAGGGTCAACTTTATCCCACTCCACAATTAAACCACTGCAATAAATACATCAGTCAGAGGGAAAAATGCTTACAGCCAGTGGCCGCGATTTAACTCTTGAATGCTTCCATCATTTCATACAGTATTTGTCTTTTTATTCGACCCTTCCTTTCATCACTTCGAAACGGACGGATTTCCACCGGAGGCGGCAGCCAACCAGCGAGCTCTGCGTGTGTCTGCACTGAACGCCGAGCATATCCACCAGTGAAACCATCCCGAAATAGAAAGTAAAGAACTTTTTTTTAAAAAAAACACGCGAATAGAAGCCATTGCCAACTTCAAACAAAACATATCAGCTCCTTTTTAATATATTTTTATATAGAATATACAATGTGTGGGGGAAACTGGAGAGTGTGCCTGTAAAATAGATTTGGGCTGTGGAAACAGGGCATCAATCATCCATCTAACGTCAATCAAAAGAACGAGAACCCACTCACAATACTGCTGTTGTATAGAGGCAGGCCGTAGTCATGTAAACGGTATATTTGTAGTGTTTAATGTGCTCAATCGGATGAAGAAGCGGATGGGGGAGATAGAGAGAGAGAGAGAGCAGGGAGAAAGCATTACAAATGTGCAAAATAGTCTGAAACCGAGACCACGAAACACCTGGCAGAGCGATCATGCGAAAAGAGGCTGAATGAGACGCCTCAGTGTGGTATCGCGGCTTCATCTCTCATTACACGCCTGTGTCAGCAGAACGGCCGTGAACTCATTTCCTCCTCTCTGGTGCACCGCCAGAGGAGAGGAACAAAACACATTCAACAATGGCTTTTGTTGAACGATCGCCACGTTCACTCAGTGTGAGCATTAGTCCCAGGGAGGAAATTCAGATAATGCCTCGTAATAATGCTGGGGTGGGCTCCCATCAACGATGGCATTCAAGACACTGACATTTTAACTGTTATGAACAGTATTGTGCATTGCAGAACATAAAAGTTGAGACGCACTATAAAATTCCTGTTTACCAGCCACTTTTCTGAAAATAATGACCAAAGAACTGCAATTGTCGACTGGAATGGGGGTGGGGAAGGGTTACTATTTCAATAAAGCAAAGGACGTAAATGTGTAACGTGTAAAATAGGTAATTCACATTGTTCGTCTCAACCCCTTTCCTTATATACACGCACACGGACGTACACGATTGTACCACTGAACCATAAATGCAGAAAAAACGCTGAAATCCCCAAATGATTTCAATTTCCAATCGTCAGTCCAGTCCAAATAGCCTTAGGATTTCATTATGTCGCCCCGATAATATGACAGTAACAGAAAACTCATATTCAAGCACGCGATCTGCTTAACCGTATGGCCTATTCACGCACTGACATCCACTTCTGCACAGAATACTACAAACACATTACACGTTGTAATATTTATCTTTATTTACTTGTGAAAATGGAATACAAACCCTTTCTTATGACATAAAGGTTGTATCCGTGCAAGAATACATTTGGCGTTCAGATTTGCTGCAACTCATTTTCAAAGGCAGCCCAACATTAAGTGCTGTTGTGCTCACTCGCAGTTAAAGCGCTTTGATTCTCTTTCCAACTCCCTTTTCCTTTTCAGATAGTTGCGCCTCATTTCTCCTCGAGCTGG